GAGCAAAGTCCTATTCTTTCCATTATAGAGCAAGTACTTTACTACTGACCAGTTTTTTAGTTTCTCTCCTCTCTTTGCCAAGCAGGATGAGGTCGTCTGTTGGGCACATACATTTGTTTTCATCCAGGTAGACATCCATTATTTGTAGACCTTAAGACACCTGCCAGTTGGTGAGTCATCTTACTGCTCTGGCTTCAGAGAGCTATGCTACACAGCTGGGGCATTTAGTCTTGAAATTGTTTAACCAAGTGTGATAAACTCCAGTCTATAGGTTGATGTATGCAAATTATGCTAAACTCTGACTAGCTTTGAGATATTGGAAGGAAAACAATTTGGCCCTTGCTCTTTTTTTTTTTTTTTAAGATTTTATTTATTTATTTGACAGAGATCGCAAGTAGGCAGAGAAGCAGGCAGAGAGAGAGGAAGGGAAGCAGGCTCCCCGCTGAGCAGAGAGCCCGACATGGGACTCGATCTCAGAACCCCGAGATCATGACCCGGGCCTAAGGCCACGGCCTAACCCACTGAGCCACCCAGGTGCCCCTGGCCCTTGCTCTTTAACACTTAATTTTCTCATTTCCTTGGTCCTGACAAACTTCTCTTTCCTGCTAAAACATTCCTGTTGGTTGACATGAACCAAAGAGTTGGGACATCTTGGCTTTACTTCAGCTCAAATTGTCACTTCTGTAGAAATAGTAGAAGTGAAAACTGGAAGTCTTCCATTACTTCCAAGTCCCTGGGCAGATAATGCCTGAAAGTGGATTCTCATTAAAAATGTCTGCCTCCCTTCCTTAACTACTAATGTGTAGCCTGTTTCTGTTTGCTCGCCGGGGCTTGAATGAGGTAAAAATAGAATTGAATTTGTGATTTTCTTCTTTTTTGGGGGGGGTGGGCAGTTGCTAGAAGAAAACTTCAGGTTTTAGCTTTGCTCTGTCAAATATCTAGACATTCAGAGTATAAGGGTGGCCAACTCATTTTGGTTTTGAAACTGGAAGTCCTGTGTCCCAGGAACTCTTGTTTCCAGCCAAACCAGATAGTTGGTTACCCTATCTAAGTTTATTCTCTGTATCCCTAAAGAAAAGCTCCACTAGCTTACCATTCCTAAAGAAAAGCTCCACTAGCTTACCATTGATCATTATTTTGTGTAGAAGGAGATTTCACAATATCCCAGCTTCTGTTGGAATGTTACCAGGGATTAGGTTCTTTTGCTCTTCCTTTTTCTTTCTTTCTTTTTTTTTTTTTTAATTAAAAAAATTTTTTTTAAAGATTTTATTTATTTGAGAGAGAGAGGGAGAGGGAGCATGAGCAGAGGCAGGGCAGAGGGAGAAGCAGTCCCCAGTGAGCAAGGAGCCCATTGCTTCTAGGCTCTGCTGTGAAGCTCCAATCCCAGACCTCTGGGGTCCTAACCTGAGCCAAAGGCAGACACTTAACTGAGCCACCCAGGGGCTCCTCTTTCCTTTTTTTTAAAGAAATGATTGTCATTTGTCTCAGTGACTGTAGGTAATACCAGCTTACCTCTCAGAAATAAAACATGAATTTTAACTGATTTGTTGATTCCAGAGTTGATTCCAGTCACTTCTGTTATTTTTTGTTTGTGTATATGTTAAGACCTTAGGTATAAATCTGAGACAGTTGGATGATATTTGTGGGAAATGAGTAGGCAAATGAGGTAAATATGTGTACATAAAGCCTCCTACAAGTTGATTTTTGGGTTAAGAGAAACACTTAAGGTTTTTAAAAAGTATTGGGCTTTTTTTGTATTCAAGTCTTCAGAGAAACCACTGTCCATGTTTTGTATTGTCTTGCATAAAAATAACTAAAATCAAATACTAATACATGGTGTGTTTTTTCTCATGGAAAAAGCTGATTTTACAGTAGGACAAGTTTATTAACTAAGCTAACATTTTTTTTTTTAAGATTTTATTTATTTATTTGACAGAGATTACAAGTAGGCAGAGAGGCAGGCAGAGAGAGAGGAGGAAGCAGGCTCCCTCTGAGCAGAGAGCCCGATGTGGGGCTAGATCCCAGGACCCTGGGATCATGACCTGGGCCGAAGGCAGAGGCTTTAACCCACTGAGCCACCCAGGCGCCCCATAACTAAGCTAACTTTTTGCAAACAAGCATAGCATCACATATATTAATATGCCTAGATTATTTGGAAAATATCACAAAATTACCACCTCAGTCCATTTAAGTGTAGTTGTTGCTTTTATTAAATTTTAATCTTCTAGACAATCATTAAAGAAGGGAAAGCCAGGGGCCGTGATCTAATCAACACTGGTAATTGGGTTTCAGAATTGGCTCTGTTAAAGACTAGCTTTGTAACTTTCCGCAAATAACTTGGTTTTCATTTGCTTTTGTTCCTTAAGTATAAAATAGGAATAATAATACCTATTCAGCTTCCTTACAGCCTTGACATGATGATGAGATAATGGGTAAGAAGGAACTTTCAAAAGTTAAAGGTACCATAAAGGTAGAGTTTTAGTATCAGAAATAGTACTTCATGATCAACATATGTAGAAAATTCCTTCTGTTTTGGTGATAGTATGGCACATCTTAGAGTAATAGCTGCAAGAAATGGTATCTTTGACTGTTTTATTTTTTAAATTTTTTTAAAAGATTTTATTTATTTGACAGAGCACAAGCAGGGGGAGTGGCAAGCAGAGGGAGGGGAGAAGCTGGGGAGCCTGATGTGGGACTTGATCCCTGGACCCCGGGATCATGACCTTAGCCGAAGGTAGTCGCTCAACCAACTGAGCCACCCAGGCACCCAGGAGTTTCAAATATAAGCCAGCAAGTAGCTGAGAAGAAAGTATGCTGAACTTTTATGTTCAAATTATCATAGCTCTACTAAATACAAAAATACATTTATGTGTATTTTAAGGCTTAAAATTTACAAACATTACAACTAATATTTTAGTACTGAGGAGCTAATTACAAGTGGCCTATACTCAAGCATTACTGTCTTTGGTAAGATTAGGTGAATATTGGAAGACCTAAAAAAAGTTAATTATCGTTACAGTTACATTGTTACTGCACTGTAGCAGATGTGTTTTGTTGCTTTAATTTGTTCTGGTTCTTCAGTACTTTGCATTCTCCTTTTCATTTCAATCTAGATATTATAAAATTTTATGCCAGTTTGAGTTAGAACAAATTTATAACTGCTTCCAGTTAAATCAGCTTCATAATCTTGTGGTGCTGGTGAGAAGTCAGGGTGATCTAGGCGTGACAGTGTAGGGTTTCTTGTCAGTCTGTATGAATTGTGACTTCACTAGTTACTGGATGTTTAATTGCTTTGACTTTATTCATTGTAAGATGGGCATCATGCTACCTGTTTCTAAAGTTGTGAAGATTAAATAATATATAAAATGTGCCTCCCTCAGTGTTGGGTATATATTGGATGTTGAAATAAAGTTGTTGGGGTGCCTGGGTGGCTCAGTGGGTTAAGCCTCTGCCTTCAGCTCAGGTCATGATCTCGGGGTCCAGTTTTTTAACTTAATTTTAAATGATTTATTTTAATTATTTAATTTTAACAACAGTAGTTTGAAAGAGTCTTGTGAAAGAGATTATAAGGGAGCTTGGTGTTACAGAGAACTCTAGGTATTTTCTTCCTCTTAAAATCACCCAAATAATGAAATGAAGGGCTCTCTAATCACATGTAATTGCTTAGTCTGAGTAACATTATTAACTAGTTAACATAATTATTCTATATTTAAAAAACATAGTTTAGGGGTACCTGGGTGGCTTATTCTGTGAGTATCTACCTTCTGCTCAGGTCATGAGCCCCATGTTGGGCTTCCTGCTTAGTGGGGAGCCTTCTTCTCCCTCTCCCTCTGCCTGCTTGTGCTCTCTCTGTGCCAAATAAATAAGTAAAATCTTTAAAAAACAAAACGTAGTTTATCTTTCATTAAAAGCTACTTATTCAACCTTCATGTAAAACTTGTAGTTCCTTTTTTCTTTTTTTTAAGTTTTATTATCCATTTGAGAGAGAGAGCAAGAGCATGAGTGCATAGCTGAGGGACAGAGGGAGAGGAAGAGAACCCCAAGCAGATTCCCTGCCAAGCGTGGAGCCCAACATGGGGCTTGATCCCACAAGATCCCTTGTGGGGCTTGATCCCACAAGATCATGACCTGAGCCAAAACCATGAGTCAGACACCCAACCACCTGAGCCGCCTAGGTCCCCCTGAAACTTGTAGGTCTAAGGACATATCTAGATCATTAAGCTTGAATATTTTAGATTATTAGATATATTTAGATTATTAGATATAATGAAAAGTAATATTGTTTGGATGGGCAGGAATACTATTCAAATGATCTTGAAATAAAGGATTTTTTTTTAAAGATCTCATTTATTTGTCAGAGAGAGAGAATGAGAGTGCACAAGTAGGGGGAGCCGCAGGCAGAGGGAGAAGCAGGCTCCCCACTGAGCAGGGAGCCGGTGCAGTCTCACAACCCTGAGATCATGACTTGAGCTGAAACCAAGAGTCAGGCACTTAACCTACCGTACCACCCAGTTGCCCCCCCCTCCTTTTTTGGCAATTCTTACTTTTTATTACATAGCAATATACATTTTTCATAGACAATTTAGTAAACAAAATAATGAAAACAGAGGTTACTTCTAATACTTCAAATAAGGAAAGATAACTTTCTGGAGGATGTATACCATACTAGTCACTCAAAAAGGCTTTGATACTCATTCAGATTTCAGAGTTCTAGTCAGCCAGTGGCTACGTTTAATACTTCTTTAAGCTAATGAGAATGGTTTTTCATCTCCACATATTTTAGTGGCTGAATTATCAAGGCACCATTGAGAGTTTGGTCAATTTTTTATTAAGTACATTCAGATTTTTACTTAATACCTAAGGTAGTTGTTTTGACTGATAAATATTTTAGTCTTTTTGATTAAATACTAACAAAGGTTTAGTTTAAGTGGCTATTATTCTTTTCTCACTATTAATTAGACATTCCTCAGAATGCAAAAGCAAAAAAGAACCTTAAAAATGATCTTGTTTGCCTTCTCATTTTACAAATGAGGAAACTGGCTTCTTCCAAGCTTTTGTTTCCAGTGACTTCTTAGTTTAGATTGTGTTTTGTTAAGCACTTGCTTGATTGCAGTCCTTTTCCTTTCTGGTCAGGCTCTGTTTTTCCATCTCTCGGCCAGCGGTACAAAGAACAGGGAAACTGAAGAGAGGAGAAAGCATATGCCAGAGAAGTAGAAGGAACCGGTGTATGTCTGGGTGTGATCATATAACCAGCCTGGAAGGAAGGAGTGGTCTCTGTTAGTGAAGCAGACATTTCAGGTAGTAATTCTCAGCCATCTACTGTGTTGAGGGAAGGAGCCTTTTGTCTTTGCTAGTATGTATTGTGACCCATTAGGAAGTTAGTCTAGCTGCTTGCCTTATTTTCTATTGATGAAGGTAAATCTGTTCCACCTTGTTAAGGACTTAACCCTGTGGGGGAGAGAGTCATCGTGGACTCAGAACTCATCTGCCGTCTTACAGTGGAAACTGGGGAAAATTAGGGACGTATACCATCTGATTTTATGATATATATATATATTTTTTAAATCTTATTTATTTATTTGACAGAGAGACACAACGAGAGAGGGAACACAGGCAGGGGGAGTAGGAGAGGGAGAAGCAAGCTTCCCACCAAGCAGGGAACCTGATGCAGGGCTCGATCCCAGGACCCTGGGATCATGACCTGAGCCAAAGGCAAATGCTTAACGACTGAGCCGTGCAGGCCCCCCTATGATGCTTTTTGTTTTGTTTTGTTTTAAGATTTTGTTTATTTGAGAGCACAGAGAGAGGAGGAGAAGCAGACTCCCTGCTGAGCAGAGAACCTGACGTGGGTCTCAATCCCAGGACCCCAAGATTATGACCTGGGCCAAAGTTAGACGCTTACCAAACTGAGCCACCCAGGCACCCCTGATTTTACGATCAATCTTATTAGAAGGCCACTGTTCTTACAAGGAAAATAATAGCGAATTACTACTACTTTCCAAAGAAAAAAGTGATAGTAGTATCTTTTTTCCCTCGCTGAAACTACATTCCCAACAGTGTGCTAGTTGTTGGAGGAGAGAGTGGTAATGAGCCAAAACAGACATTCTCCCTGCCCTCACAGACTGTACAGTTTCATGTGAGTTGGGTATTAACTACAAGACTTACGTATGTCATAAGGACTGTGAAGGGAAGGTTCAGGAGGCTTTGAGAGCATGTGAAAAGGAAGTGACTACTTGAGACGCCTGGGTGGCTCAGTTGGTTAAGTGTCTGCCTTCGGCTCAGGTCATGATCCTGGGGTCCAAGGATCGATCCCCGTGTTGGGCTCTCTGCTCAGCAGGAAACCTGCTTCTCCCTCTCCCTGCCACTCCCCCTGCTTGCATTCTCTCCCTCTCTCTGACAAATGAATAAATGAAATCTTTAAAAAAAAAAAAAGGGAAGTGACTACTTAGGTGGGTTAAATGATGACTATAAGTCCCCCTGAAATCAAATGTTCTTTTAAAGGAATAATGAATGGGTACCATTGGCTAATGGCACATACCAGAACTTTTTTTTTTTTTTTTTAAGATTTTATTTAGTTATTTGTCAGAGTGAGCACAGGCAGACAGAGTGGCAGGCAGAGGCAGATGGAGAAGCAGGCTCCCGCCGAGCAAGGAGCCCGATGTGGGACTCGATCCCAGGACGCTGGGATCACGACCCGAGCCGAAGGCAGGGGCTCAACCAACTGAGCCACCCAGGCGTCCCACATACCAGAACTTTTTAAATGAAACACTTTTCTTAAAAAACTGAGTGTATGGTGGCAAAGAATATTTGTGCAAGGAACTGGCTTTTAAACATTGTTGTACAAGTCAGCCCTGTGAAATGGCAAATAACGTCCTAGTATCATTATTATGATAGTTTTGACCTCCAAGTCTTTGTAAAAAGGTCTTAGAACTTCCAGGTATTCACTGACCACACTCAGAACCTCTTTTCTAAAGTAGTATATGCATATTATGCTTGTAGATACAAATTGGCTTTTAATCCCAAAATACCCTAAGAAGTTAAAGCTGTTATTTGATTATTTATTCAAAGAAGTTTTGGTGCTGTGTGCCAAACAGTTCTAGGTACTGGGGTATATCTGTGAATGAAACAGATGGAAATATCTGGCCTCATGGAGTTTATGTTGTATCTTTTCATTTATATTTTGGAACATGATTTCTCACTGAATGTGTAGCAAGTGAGTGTGTATACCCTCTTCTCTTTTTGGTCTGATTGTGTATGTCTTTATCTCCTATACTTTTTTTTTTCTTTTTTAATTTGGTTCTGATATAAACATTTAATTTTTTGTTTGCTTCATTAGCTTTATGTTTCCTGTTCTTTTTTTTTTTTTTTTTTTTAAGATTTTATCTATTTGTCAGAGAGAGAGGGAGGGGGCGCAAGCCAGGGGAGTGGGAGAAGGAGAAGCAGGCTTCCTGCAGAGCAGGGAGCCCAACATGGGGTTTGATCCCAGGACCTTGGAATCATGACCTGAACCAAAGGCAGACGCTTAACGACTGAACCACCCAGGTGCCCCTAAGTTTCCTGTTCTTGACGTAATGCATAAATGGAATGCTTTATAGCCTCTTAAATTCAGCTACCTTTAACTTGCTTTTTACCTGTTAACTCCTTGTTGGATCAGTGACCTCTAACTAGTTAAATGTTTCTCAGTGTTAAGCAAAAAAGTGGAGAGAAACTGACTAGGACACGTTTTTGTATTAATGTTGATTGTGATTAGCCTTGAGATATCAAAGAGATGGGTAAGTTACAGTCTCAAATTTCTAGAAAGTAGGAAGTATAGAAAGCACCAGCATCCCTTCCTATATCCCTTCTCATCTTGCTTTACTCTCACCAGTATAGCAGATGTATCGAATTATAAGGTAAGCATTAGAAGTAATGCTCTGGAAAAGACTAGTAATTCTTAGTTAAGGAAGTAGATTGTGCTGCTAAAAAGTCAGGAGGGTGTAGGTAAAAATAGTGGAAAATGGGGGGTGGTGATGGTGGTTGTCTTTATAAATCCTAGAAAACTGGTGATACGCTTTTCATAAACACATTTAAAGTCAAAATGTTTCTGAAAGATTAAAATATATTTAATATATTTTCTTACCAGGGCAGGGAATTATTTAGCGTAATTTAGAACTTTCCCTGTATTTCCATGCGAAATTTAATGAAATAATTAGTTTTAAATCTGTTTCTCTTGGGGCAGCTAGGTGGCTCAGTTGCTTGGGCATCTGCCTTTGGCTCATGATCTCCACATCCTGGAATTGAGCCCTGTGTTAGGCTCCCTGCTCATGATATCTCTCTCTTAAGTAAATAAAAATTAAAATAATAATAATAATAATTAAATCTGTTCCCTCTTACTCTTACTTGATAACTGAGATAGTAGTAAACTTTAAAAATTCTATTTCTAAGATCCAGTTGCCATTCAGTAGGTTAATCCTATGCTGCCGAGTCTTTAGTTTTATATTTATATTTATAAAATTTGCAAAATATGAATGAAATGTAGAATGTAGGGTTATTTCATATTATTGACTGTTTTGTGAATGTATTAGCTGTTATAAGCTTAGATTTACATGGCTACTAAGTAAGTTAAATTCAGAGCTTCGTTGGTATTGAAATACCTATTTGGTTAGAAAAATCAGCCTTTTCCCACCACCAAAAGTAAAAGAAGACTGTATATTTGGTCTTATTTTATTAGATCTCTGTGCTTTTTTGGTAACAGTATGGAAAAGCTGTGTACAAATGCACTTTGAACCCTAAACAGTTCAAGGCTCCTGTGGGTATATATTTTTTTAATTAACATATAATGTATTATTAGCCCCAGGGGTACAGGTCTGTGAACTGTCAGGCTTACACACTTCACAGCACTCACCATAGCAAATAACCCTCTCCAATGTCCATAACCCCTCCACCTTCTCCCTCCCCTCCTCCCCCCAACAACCCTCAGTTTGTTTTGTGAGATTAAGAGTCTTCTATGGTTTGTCTCCCTCCTGATCCCGTCTTGTTTCATTTTTCCTTCCCTACCCCCCAAGTCTCCCACTCTGCCTCTCAAATTCCTCATATCAGGGAGATCATATGATAATTGTCTTTCTCTGATTGACTTATTTCGCTCAGCGTAATACCCTCTAGTTCTATCCATGTCGTTGCAAATGGCAAGCTTTCATTTCTTTTGATGGCTGCATAGTATTCCATTGTATATATATACACCACGTCTTCTTTATCCATTCATCTGTTGATGGACATTTAGGTTCTTTCCATAGTTTGGCTCTTGTGGGCATTGCTGCTATAAACATGCGGGTATGTTTTTAAAAGAAAGGATTGTTGGTAGTTAAGAACCTATCATAATCTAACTACTTGAAATGTAAACACCTATGTTGACATTTAAAAGACAGGGTTCCTTTGTGGTCATAGCAAAAGCATTGTGAATGACAGAGAAAGACAAGATAATATACCAGCCATGATCCAAAGGAGTGTTGCATCCATCTAAGTGTCTACTGCATGGAGCCAGCAGTCTGAGGAGTAGTGCACTAGCAGCTGGTTCAGACTGCCTAAGCTACAGTGCCGTGTAAGCACTTCCTCAGTGTTTACAGACTACCTGCCTTAGACTCATCTGAGATGCGAGTTCATCGTGCAGAGTCCTTGGCTTCCCTTAAGCATAATTCATCATGGGGTGATCCAGTCGATTCTTACGCACAAGAAAATTGTAGTCCAAATTATTTTCCTATGCCTCTGGCTCTAACCCTTATTTTAAGCAGGGATGTCTAATAATGTTTCCTTTTGATAATTGAAAACAATTAAGGACGTAGGGCTCAGCTTCCATAAACAGTTTTGCAAATGAGTTTTTTTAATCTTCTATCAAACTTGATATTAAAATAGGGTTCTAAATTTTTTTAGACATCAACACTTTTAAACTGTTCTGCATCATTTTATGGGCAAAGCTATACATATTTAAAAATAAGGGTAACATCCTGTCTAAAAAGTACCTCTGGGGCACCTGGGTGGTGTGGTTGGTTAAGTATTTGTCATCGGCTCAGGTCATGACCCCAGGGTCCTCGGATCGAGACCCACATCAAGCTCTTTTCTTAACGGGGAGCCTGCTCCTCCCTCTCCATGCACCTGCCGCTCCCCCTGCTTGTGCTCTCTGTCTCTCTTTCTCTCTGTGTCAAAATAAAGAAAAATCCTTAATAAAAAAAAAGTACCCCTGATATCTCAGAACTAGATTGTTGAGCTGAGTTATGAATC